ACAAGCAGCTTCTTAACGAAAGTCGTTTTTCCAATTCCAGTCTCTCCTTGCACGAGAATTCTCTTTGCTACAACTCCGTTCTTCTTCTTCTCGGTGAAAATTTCAGTGTAATGACTCAGCTCCCTTTGTGATGACCCAGCTGTGGTTTGTTCCTGTTTCACCCAGGACAATCGAGTGTAGATCTGTTCAAGGTCCTTCTGAAATTTTGAGGACCACGCTGTGATGGGCACCTTGGCTGTTCTTTGATAATGCTCTGCAAGTTTCTTCTGACAGGTTCTGACATCATAAGTCTCCAGAGGAGAAGCCTCTGATGAGAGAAAACATCACAGCGAAATGAGATAGAAACGGAAAACAATTACTACGTCAAAAACAAAATAATATTGTTTGATTCAGACACAGTTTATTGTTAGAAGTGGCGTTCCTCAAAACTCCAGTTTCTAAGTAAATGATTTTCACAAATATTTGTGTTCCAGTTTGCGCGATGAGATGAGTAAAAGAGGATAACGAATAGAAGCAGTCTTATTTAGCGTTTTCGAAACAAGAGATAATTTGGCCTCCAACAACAACAACAACAACTATCTTTATGCACACTATTCAGGTACAAAAGAAAGGTAACACCAAAAAGAAACTACACAAAACGAAATGATAAAGATTCTATGACTATATGTACAATTTGACTCAGTGAGCAACAGCCAGCAACAACANGATAATGCTCTGCAAGTTTCTTCTGACAGGTTCTGACATCAAAAGTATCCAGAGGAGAGGCCTCTGAAGAGAGAAAACATAACAGCGAAATGAGATAGAAACGGAAAACAATTACTACATCAAAAACAAAATTATATTGTTTAATTCAGACACAGTTTATTGTCAGAAGTGGGGTTTCTAAGTAAATGATTTTCCCAAATATTTGTGTTCCAGTTTGCATGATGAGGTGATTAAAAGAGGATAACGAATAAAAGCAGTCTCATTTAGCGTTTTCGAAACAAGAGAAAAGCCCGATAATTTGGCCTCCAACAACAACAACAACAACAACAACAATCTTTATTCACACTATTCAGGTACAAAAGAAAGGTAAGACAAAAAAGAAACTATAGAAAACGAAATGATAAAGATTCTATGACTATATGTACAATTTGACTCAGTGAGCAACAGCCAGCAACAACAGCTAAAACAACATAAAATTGATCTTAATTATTCGCACGGCTTCTCGTTAACTTCTACAATTATACTTTTATAATAATTAGCTTAGTCTTTTCTTCCTCTTGTACAGACAACTACAACTTCGCTTTGTCCACACCTTGATTGTAGCCCTACCGAGCATTATGCGAACAATTTGTACAAAAAATTGTGAGCACAACGAGGAAGTACACATATTTGAATACCATCTAGCAAGTACAACTAAAGAGAAAAGGGATTCCTGGCCGGGAAAACGTATTGATCACATAATCACGATCACAGAATTCACTGACCAGGAATCTATGGCAGTAATAAGAAGGAAGTGTTCTTGAGATGTGTGGTACAAAAAGACGGCATTTGATCAAAAGTCAATAAACTGGCTGACAGTCACTTCTACTGTGCATTGATGAACAACGGGCATAAAATTGCACGTTTTTAGTACCAACCAAACACTAACGTTTAACAAGTGTCACTGAAGTACTGAAGAACTTGGAAAAGAAAGACTTGGAATGAACTTGCAGAGTAAAAATGAACAACTGTATGCATATACAAGAGCGCAAATGAAGAACAGTACCACATAACTCTAAAACGAAGAAGCTGCAAAAGCTTTAAGCTGGGCCCGGGAGTTTTGCCAACTTCTTCTGATTGATAGTCAGGCACTTAAAGAATGGCAACAGGAGTTGTGCAAATGCCTGTGCTTGTATGATCGTGAATATTTTGAACCACACGTCTCTTTAATCAAGTTTTTCATGTCAGAGGAGATTCATGTTGGTATCTTACAAAGATCCAATAAACAAATTCGGCTAACTCACGCG